TCAAACAATGTGAGACACATAACATACCCGCACACCCAGGACTGGTCATCCGGTGTGTGGACAATATAACATGGGGACCCAACATATATTAAGAAAAATGGACTTGGGGCTAACCTAATCTCAAAATATGTTCAAGAGGCTATGTTGTCCAGACTCTTCAAAAATGTCGAAGGGTGTGTGTTGAATTCGCCAAAAGTAGTGTACTTTTGGAGAATCTGACACGGGTACGACATTGAAAGTGAAGAGTTCGCGCAACTTAGTCATGAGGTGAAGATTACTCAAGATCAGGGGCGCATCCATAGCATAAGTTATGAGTTCAGTCGAATTCTATAGCTTTGGCCTATACCTCATATATGTATGTAGAAAATCACTAAATATATACAAATATTAAATTTTCAATCTAGTTATTAGCGCTTAGAGGGAATCTTAGTAGCTCAGTTGGTTGGTTACCTAAATTTTCACCTTCCTTGTCTTGTAATCTCCTCCCCATTTCCCTTCCGCTACCCCCAATTTGTTTTTTAAAAGAAAAGTGCTTGACTCTCGAAGTCATGTGCGGTAGCAAACTAGCAATATCAAACCAAATAGGACGAGTATTGGGGTCCTGAGCTGTCCTAGAATCTCCATTCCATAGAATCTAAATCTTGATTTGCCTCTGCCCAAAACCATGTAAGGAAACAACATACCTTCAACCTTATGTGGGACACCTAACCCAAAGACCAACTTTTGTTCTTACATTTTTTTGGGAAAATTATACAAAATGTCCATTGAATCAAAATTTCTTACCTAAAATATCCTAATTATCATTTATTACTATAAATGGTCATTCAGCCTTTATTCTTTCAAGTGAAGTGCATATGTTGCCTTCTTTAAAACTTTGTCAATTTTCCTTTCTTTCTTCCTTGTGTTTCCTCTATGCTGGCGGCTATTCGAACAGGTATGTTTCTCAACTATTACTCCTCTCCGACGTACCAAAATTGACACATAAATAAATATGCACTTAACTAAATTAATAATTTAATTCGACCTACCGCAAACGTGAATCGTTCGAGTGAATAATATATCAAAAGACTCGAAACATTGAGACTATATCATATCTAAAATTTGGGACTGCTTAGAGGAAATTTGAGTTGGTCAGGATTGAAAAAAAAACTTAGTCTGCAATGTAAATATTATATAAACATTGTATATGGATGTATATACATAGTTATACACCATATATACACTATCTTAGAATATCGATGCATTACATATACATACAACCAATTTCGTTGAAATATTTTTTTGTTACCTGAACAGTTATGTAAGAATACCTTTTTTTATTTAAACATTTCTTGGGCTTCCCTTGCAGCCAGAAGGAATCGCAGTTGAAGCAAGGGAAGTTCTTCTCCAAAGAGCTTCCGAGGGAACGATAAACTTCATACTAAACAAGTATGTATTTGTTATCATTTTCTCCTCCAATATGTTACTTAACTATATAATTTCAACTAAATACGTCTTTCTTCTTTGTAGGGCTCCATGGATGGTAGAAACAAATCCGAAAGAGCTCGGTTTTGGGATATATTCATAAATTCAATATAGAGATTTGACTGATCAAGTGAGTGTGCCAAGGTTTTATGATGGTTTATAATATGCACCTTTTGCATCTCATAAGTATAAAATCCTCAATATTTATTAGTTGCGTATCTTTCAAGTGACTTGATTGTGTAAACATATTTTACAATGTCCGTGCATAGAACTTAAGATTGTTTCCTTTTTCCTTTTCAGGCGTCGAGTGTGGAGCCAAAATGCACCCTCACCTTCTCTATATATTGGTGCAGTCTTTAAGATTTGAATGCGTACAGCTTGTTAGTTGTCAAGTTTTATAATACTTTGTCCTTCCATTTGAATAGACTTAACAAGTTTGTCAATAGCAGAGGTGAGTTCAGGATATTTGGTCTGAAATATTTACACCAATATACATATACTCTTATAGTATATATATATACTGATTTGGTATCAAGTTAAGCGAAATTATCAGCTTTAATAATATCAATACATATTGATTTAGTATCAGTTAAGCAAAAATTATCAGCGTTAATGATACCAATACAGTATATGATATTGATTTAGTATCAGCTAAGCGAAAATTATCAATCTTAATGAATGGGGTATAGGCTGTAATTATTTATGAGAGAATGAGTATTTCAGGAATTACTTTGACTTTGTAATTATTTTGGATTTTCTGATCCATATTAAGTGAGAAATAATACATTAGGTATGGAAAAAACATAAGTGCACGCTTCGATCACAGGAGTGAGAAAATAAGTTGATGAATGACAACATTAAACTAACAAATATTTATTTTACCTAAGATTCAAATAACAAAAAGATAAATTCTTGTAGAAACGAATATTAAGAACATTCCAACAAAAATTAAAAGATTTAGCACTATCACATATAGTAGGAACCTCTTTGGTGTGATAACAAACGTTCTTTCATTTTGATAAATTTTATTTACTACATTTTTAAATAGTAATCTTTGTTCTTTGATATATTGGCTTCTCAATTAGTGATCTTTAATGAAATAATCAAACATTAATTTATGTGAAAAAAATCTAAAATGTTTAATTTATTTATGACTCATTCTATTTTCGTGTTTTTAAGAAAATCTAAGATGTTCATTATTTTAGCATTTAACTCTCACACCTTCACAACTTACGCCATGATCTTTCTCCATAACTTTCATAGTTAATATCAATGTTTATGACAACACTTTGAATGTCTCTGTGTAACACGATAAATAGAGGCATGAAGGTTCACATTGATACACTTAAAAAATATTTGAACATACTTATTGAAAAAATAAGAAAGTTTTTCTCTCGTCTCACTACTTCTATTGCTTTCATTTTTACTATTTGTGTCATATTTTTGTTTTAATTTTACAATACGTTATCAACACTAAATTTTTATTTTTGTAAGTATTTTTCGAAGTTGAATTCCACATATTATTTGTTAAAGTGGTGTAACTAAAATTAGTCTAATTGTTGTGCATTCAACCGTGAAAAGGTGAGGTACAAATGCATTTTGTCCTATTATTAATATTGTCACTTCATGACCCTAACTTATTCTTAAGGCAATTTCATAGTGATGAGGTATTTAATTACATTATTGACTCTTTTTGTGCCTATAAACGTTAATTTAAGTCTTAATACATCACAATGATGATATAATAATAATTAAGGTAAAATAATATACTTGTGACAAAATCATGCCGCCCCATTGATTTTCTGTATTACATAGTGTGAATATAGTAGTGCATGATAGGTTTGAAAGAAACTAAAGTGGCTAAATGTATAAATATGGGGTGTAGAAGGACAAAATAATTATAGTCGTCATTGTGATAATTATAAACAGAAGAAAAATATGAATTTTCAAAATGATCCTTCAAAAGGAAGACAAATTTTGTCATCAATTTGGCATGAAAGGTATCCGACATGTGGTGATGGTGTAACCTAATTTAATAAGTTCTATAAATCCTCCATCAAAATAAAGAAATAAAAAGTGATGATGCACTTGACCTTTCAAAGGGATGTTGAGGTGTGTTATACAAATGTGATAAATATCAAAGAAAGATAATATGATTCTATTAAAAATTTACGAAGCACATACATGTGATCACAGTCTATTCCTTAAATAGAATGAGACTCGTGAAACATCGTGAATGCTCGTTCATTCTTGCAAATGAATATGTTAATTTGCGATAAAAGTTATGAATAAAGAACATAGTATTTATGTATGTTTGGATAAATGTTACAACTCACCTCTATGGGTGATTTGAGATTAAAAAATTGACATAAACGATCATTGATCGTGTAATTTTAGTATGTCACAAACATTGTGATATATTTTATTAGTAACTATCGAAAGGGCAAAAGAAAGAAATAATTCTCATCTATAAAAATTGTAGTCATGACTAAAATGAATATTATTGTGTGATCGCAAAAACTTGTCATTGATTGCGTACCTATGGTACAACAAGAGTAAAACAAGAAACAATTGTTGCATGTAATGATTTTGATCATGAAAATAGTAATAATTTTCTACTTGAAAGAAATGTCACCATACAAATAGTGTTATGAAACATGTAATAGTACACAATTTTAATCAAAAGCTCCTGAAGAGCTAATGTGTTACTACGCTGATGAATGAAAATGTTCATCATATTGAGATTATAATAAGTCTCAGAAAAAATTGTTAAACTTCAACAACAATAGTAAAAAATGAATTATATTTGAAAAGATTCAATATCTTCATATTACTACGATTGAATTGGATTATAAATATTTACATAAAAATTTATCTTCCTTTTTTTCATGTTTGTAGTACATAAATATAGGCATGGTGATGAAATCGGACGATAGTAAATAAATACATTATTAGTTAAAAATGTACATATAGTTATTCTATGTTAATTGATAAAACAAAATTAAGAATAAAAAAAGAAATATTTCCTACTTATTTATTAGTTAAAATGGTTTTAAAAGAGAAAAAATAGAGAAAATGGTCTGAAATATATCCGAATTTTGACTGAAATTGCAGTAACGATACCAAACTTTGCTTTTACCCCCTACACTATTTAATAGTATATTTTAAAGGTATATATATGACCACGTGGACATCATAAATATTGCATAAATATAAATAATAACGTGTTCACGTGGGCACATATATACCTTTTAAATACACTATTAAATAGTGCAAGGGGTAAAAGGTCCTCCATAAAGTTTGGTATCGTAACAACAATTTCGGTCAAAGTTGGAGTATTTTTGAGACCATTTTTCTGAAAATATATATATATAGTTCTTTAGAAGTAATGTTTTTATCTGGAAAAATATATAATTAAAAAGAAAAAAAAAAGTAGTAATGCAGTATATTTATATATTTTTGACTCATTAATTAACAATAAGGATATTTTTGGATGAAATTATTAGGAATATGGAATATGAATATATTTAGATCAAATTATTTGTATTCGACTCTTTTCCGTTATATTTAAACACTGGAACATCACTTTCTCCCTCTCAATCCATCACTGCTCCATTGGAAAGCTTCACTCAGGTAAACATTTTTCTTCTCTTAACTCCTTTTTCTTCCCACACCCCAAAATAGTGACGATTGTTTTTCTGTTTCTCTTCTTTTTGTTTGGTGTTCATCGTGTGCTTTAAGTTGTGAATGTGATCATTGAAGTTCGGATCAAATAGGAGTTGTGGTATGTATTGTGATTTTCAAAGCGAGTAGCAAACTGCAATTCCCGCTAATTCACGGATTTTGGGAAGCTAATTCATGGCTGTAGAGTACTAAAACTTGCAAAGAAAAACTATGCACTCCAAGTGTTCGATTAATTGCCCGAACGATTATTTTTTTAATGGCTGTGGTGTCTGGGATAACTTTCGCGCATCTCGACTAATTTCAAATGATAATTGTTGCTCCCAAATGCACACACAAGTGTACGCGGTCGTGCAAGTAATATAGTGGCTTTGAAAAAGCTGGATTATCGAACCTAAAGGACTTGTCAATTAACTATCTATCAAATTATACTAATTCTAATTATTTATGCAAGTGTGCCACAAGAGTTTGATTAATATTGGAATACTAAGAATGAAAGAAGTATACTAACTAACAATGATTCAACTTCAAGATAATGTTAAAAATAAATGGGAAAATTTCAGGGTTGCTGCATAACTAAGAATTCATGCTTCACATATCTTGTATGGATTTTAGATGGTTATCAAATTATTGATTTCCGAGGTTAATTTTATGATTATGATCTTTCGACCTCTAATCACCTATCCTAGTTGACAGTCTAACTACATCGTTGAGAGGAGATAGAGGAGATTGATTCAATCAACTGGTGAGTATTAAAGCTATCTTCTTGTTTCGTAACCAAACACAAGACTTAGGTATATCTCTATCCTAAACACAAATTAATTCAAGTGAGTATTCAACGTTTTATCTCTCTATTCCTCTCTCGAGTTCAAAAGTAGACAATATATTTATTTTAATGGTAATCAAGCATCAAAATACTAATTCAAGAACACAAAGAATAATTTATATGATAACCAACTTCATCCATAAAATTAATGCTCAACAATCATTCGTTGCCGCAACCCCAGAACAAGGGTTCTTAGCTACTAAGACTAATCAAAATCACAAAGATAATTATTTTCATGCAAAGTAATGTCTAAGAAAGGAGAAGAAGAAGAAGAAGAAAAGATCCCTAAGGGTGAATTCTATCTTGTGCCTCTTGCACTTGAAAAGTATGATGGTTTCCTCCAAAAGAGGCACAATGTTCTATTTATAGGGTTAGGGAAAATAATCTTTTTTTCTTCTTAGATTCAGAATCCTAAAATCGGAACTTTTCGTTGGGGCTTTTGTGGGGCAGCGCGCCACCATAGCGCCATACCTGGGGCTCCAATAATTTGGGGTCTGGCACGGCGCGCCACCAGTGCGCCAAGCCCTGGGGCTCCAGTAGTTTAGGGCCTGGGGCGACGCGCCACCAGTGCGCTACAACCCAGATTTCTCTTGATTGTTCTGTTTCGTGCACTCCTCTGATTTCTTTCCAAGCTTTCAGCCCTTGCTTCAACTCCTATTTACTTGATTCTTGCATCAATTTCCTGCAATATCTAATCACATATTTTAGTGCACAATTATCACAATACTCATCAAAACACAACCAATAAAGTAAAGAATGCTCTTAAAACTAAAGGTACATGTGGGCAAAATATAGTAAATGAACATATAAATACGCCTAAGATCAATACCTTCCACCTCTCACCAGCAACATATATCAGGTAATTCTATCCACCTAGGCTAGGATGGATGGGAAGAATCACCTAGTGTTCTTTGTCTCCACTGAGTTTTGAACCTGTGACCTCATTTTGTCAAGGACTTTGTGAAGTCTGAGTAATAACTCATCTAATGAAAATGTAGCAGTCGCCTCAACCCACCTTGTGATTAATTGTGCTAAACTAGTATATATGTGGTTGTAGTCACTTCTGAACATGTTGTAATGGTGATGCATACACATTTTTAAAATATTATTTTTATATAATAAATGATTTAATGAAAACTATTCTTTATCTAGTTCTTTTCATTAAAATTCTACACATCTTTAGTTAAGAAGAGACTATTGTGAATATATAATTTTGATTCTCCTCAATTATTTTCTTAAGATTTCTGCAGTAAATATCTCTAAAACTTGTGTTTTCAAAACTTAAGAATTTAACAAAGAAAAAGCAACAATATCATATCAACCATTTTGAGATAAGATAACAATTATAATTTCTAAAGTTGTCATTTGTTTTTGGAGCATGTAGATAATCGTACTCATCGGTTTTCATTCATTTGTAAACATGGAGAAAATAACCAATATCCAATATGAAATTTAATATAATTATTCCTGAAACATAAATAGGGCATATTTATCCCTAAAAGAGAAATTATTACATTTGAATTCACTATAACTACGTACAAGCTTGCAATAAACTAAAAAAGTAATAATATTTTACTAATGATAGCGTATTCGTCAAGTTTGATTTGATAAATACATCACAAAAATAAGGTCATATGCCATCCTATCCCATTTCCCAACAAAATGAAAATTATGCACTAAAATCAATAATTGTGGTTAAAACACTAATAATTTAAAAAAATAAAAGAGAAAAAAATTCTCTATTGAAAGAGTTCCAAATGAAGGATAGAAGTGATCATAATGAAGAATTGAGAAAAAAGTGAACACAGATAGGGGCGGAGCTAAGCGGAGGTTTGTGGGTTAAAACGAACCCAGTAGCTTTTCCGTACCTTGTATTTGTATTAAAAAAACTAAATAAATATATATGTATATTAACTTGTGAACCCCCTAATAAAATTGGTTGATGGCTCAGTGATAAGGAAGGGGCCATGGTTATGTTTTCCACACTAGTGTTGTGGGTTCGAACCCTACTATCAATAAAAGTTTCTCAAAGAAGCATGCACACAGACAATAGGTAACAACTACAATTCTCCTCTAAAACGCTATAAATGCAACTGTGTCAGCTACCGAATCAATTACAAAGAAGCATATGCATATTTAGTTTTGCTCCCCATGCATGATTACTTGCTTCCGCAGCCACCAGTTCGTCAAGCTCCTCATCCACGCATGCTTCATGCTTCATGCTTCATGCTTCTCACTCTCCTTAACTCTGAATCTTTATTTACTTCCCTTTTTTTTTTAAAAATCTAAGACTTAATTAAGTGGTTATGCATAATTACTGTGTTGTGTTCACTTCATCATTGGGTCTATCGCTGCTGTACTGCCAAACAGGGGGAATCTGGTTCTGTTTTCAAAGCCTTTTTTGGTGGTCATGGCCTAATTAATGTGTTGTGTTCGCTTTTCATTGGTCTGAATTCAGTAACATGGCAAGAGTTTATTATGCTGAGTACCTGATTGGACTTTGGTGGTAACTTATATTGCTCTTTTTTTTTTGTGCACTGAAGTTTTCTTCCACCATTTCCATAAGTTAGCCAACCAAACGCTTCCTTTAATAGTCCATAAATTCATTAATTTAGCCCTAACATGCCTGAGATTGAGGTATAGTTGTTGTTGAATGAAAAACGATGAGTCTCCTGTGTCTGGTGGTTGGGGGAAGAAAAAACTCATATAACAATATGTAAATAATATAAGAGAAGAGTCTTGGTTTCAAATGCATCACTAAAGTAACTTGAATACATCTTTCTTGCACATATTTTTCTATATAAGTTTAAACAGTACATTTTTTAAGCATACCTTTGCTTATATTTTCAGATCTGGCATTTCTTTTGTCCAGTCAACATACCCTTCAAGTGCTTGGAGTTGTATTACTCTACAAACTAAACTACACTGAGACTTGACTATGTTTTTGACAAGCAATGTACACCATGCTCCTCTGCATGCGAGTGTGTCTTCTCTATCCCAATTGAACTCCCAAAGTGTCTTTTCTGTGAAGTATGCTGTAAAGTTGTTGAAAAAGTTAGCTGATGATGGGAACTTCAAATTGGGAAAAGTTGTCCATGCACTTCTTATTGTATCTAATCATGCCTCAGAAGACCAAGTAATTCAAAATAATTGTCTCATTAATCTCTACTCAAGGTGTGGACAACTTGCTATTGCTCGGCACATATTCAACAGATTGCAGCAACGAAATATAGTTTCTTGGAGCACTTTAATGACAGGATATTTGCACAATGGGTTTACTTGGGAAGTACCCAAATTGTTGAAAGACATGGTTTCAGTGGATAATTTATTTCCAAATGAGTATGTCTTGTCTACTGTACTTTCTTCTTGTTCTAATGGTGGTTTGCTACACGAAGGGCGGCAATGTCATGCATTAGTGTTGAAATCAGGATTAGTGTTTCATCAGTATGTGAAGAATGCTCTTCTATCCTTGTATACAATGTCTTCAGATATGGAAGGGGTTCTGGAAATCTTGAAGTCTGTTCCTGGATCAAGCAACATTACTGATAATGTTGTACTAAAGGGCTTCTTGGATCATGGGTATACAAATGAAGCATTGGATGTCTTCTCAAGGATGTTGTCTGAGGGCTCAGTGGGGGACAAAATCAGTTATGTGAATATATTTGGTCTTTGTGCTCGTCTCAAGGATTTGAAATTGGGTCAGCAAGTTCATTGCAGAATGTTGAAGTCAGGTCTTCAGCTTGATGTGTTTTTAAGCAGTGCAGTCATGGACATGTACGGAAAGTGTGGTGAAATTTCAGGTGCAAGATATATCTTTTATTCTTATCCTGACCATAATGTGGTGTCTTGGACAACAATCTTGGCTGCAAATTTCCAAAATGAGTGCTTTGAGGAAGCCCTGAAAATGTTCTTACAAATGGAACTTCAGGATGTTGTGCCAAATGAATACACATTTGCAGTATTGTTGCATTCTTGTGCGGGTCTATCAGCACTTGGGTGCGGGAAAACATTACATGCACGTGTTGAGAAGACAGGACATGGAACTTTTGTCGTAGTGGGGAATGCTCTAATTAATATGTATGTTAGGAGTGGCCATATTGAAGCCGCTAGGGCCTTATTTTCAAACATGATATGTCGAGATACTGTTACTTGGAATTTGATAATATCAGGTTTCTCTCATCATGGGCTTGGTGAGGACGCATTGTATATGTTTCAGGACATGTTAGCTGCCAAAGAGCAACCAAGCTATGTAACCTTTATTGGGGTTCTTTTGGCTTGTGGACATTTGGGTAGGATAGAAGAAGGATTTTACTACTTACAGCATCTAATGAGGGACTTTGGCCTTGAACCTGGGTTGGAGCACTATACCTGTGTTGTAGGGCTCCTAGGTAAAGCTGGGAAACTTGATGAGGCTGAGAAGTTCATGAGGTCGACGCCAATCACATGGGATGTTATTGCTTGGCGTACTTTGCTAAATGCTTGTAACGTCCACCGCAATTATGGTTTAGGACAGAAAGTGGCAGACCATTTGTTACAATTGAACCCCAACGACGTGGGAACCTATATCTTGTTGTCCAATATGCATGCCAAGGTGAAAAGGTGGGATGGTGTAGCAAAGATGCGGAAGTTATTAAGAGAAAGGAACATAAAGAAAGAACCAGGATTGAGCTGGACTGAAATACGAAATGAAACTCATATGTTTGTTTCTGATGACACTCAACACCCAGAAACAGCTCAAATCCATGAGAAGGTGAGAAAATTGTTGGCTGAAATAAAACCATTGGGTTATATTCCAGACACGGCTTCTGTCTTGCATGATGTTGAGCAAGAACAACAAGAGGGTTATCTTAGTTACCACAGCGAAAAGCTGGCTGTTGCATATGCTCTCATGAAAACACCATCCCAAGCACCAATTCATGTTATTAAGAATCTCAGGATATGCGATGATTGCCATTCTGCTTTGAAGCTTATCTCGAAGGTGACAATGAGAGTGATAGTTGTAAGAGATGTCAATCGATTCCACAGTTTTCAAAATGGGTCCTGTTCGTGTGCAGATTATTGGTGAATCATCACATGATTGACAAATAGTTTCTTCCAAGGTGTCGAAGGATATTTTTCCCAAACTCACATAATCATATCTCAGCCAACCAGAAGCAGTGAGCTTAAATAAAGCTTTCTTAACCAGCAATCATGTAAGTTTTCTGAAATAGTCATTCATCATATAATAAGTTTGTTTCTAGCTTCCAAAATACTGACCCATTTTTTCCGTAATTGAGAAATCCTCAAGGGCCAATGGTCCACGGTTCAAAACCTGGTGGAGTATCTACTTCAGTTTTTTGTCCTTCGTTAGTATGTACTTCTTCAATGTGTGTGATCCTTTAATCCCTCAAGTTCTAATCTTTTGAAAATCTCATAATGTTCAGAAATCTGCCAGAGGTGAAAAGATCCTAGGAGTACCAACTGTTAGTGCTCTATTTGGAACAGATCCATTCTTGTGACATACAACTCCTTTACAGCCAAAGCGTGGTGGAATTTTAGAACAAAGAATTCTCTACTAACTTCCTTTCTAAATGCTAAATATTGTAAAAGGATTCATCCAGTGGCCAAAAAGAAGAACTACACTCAGTCTCATCTATGGAGAAGACTCATGGACACTAGAAAAGAATGTGAGAGGCATATCTTCTGGAAAATTGGCAAAGGGGATGTGTCTTTTTGGTGGGATAATTGGACCAACAAAGGTGCCTTAGCTAATCTGATTGAGCAAAGCAGCAGATCTAAGAAGATTCTTGTCTCTGACTTCATCGTGCATGACACTTGGAATCTGGATAAACTTAATGATTTGCTCCCTTCTTATCTAGTTACACATATCCAAACCATCAGCATATCTCCTCAAAATGAAGATTACCCTATCTGGACACCTGATCCATCAGGCTCATTTTCTTCCAAATCTGCCTGGAATGCTCTAAGAACTCATAGAATCACTGCTCTTACTCACACCAAGATCTGGCATAACAAGATGCCCTTTAAGATCTCATTTAGTGTCTTGAGACTTCTCAAGGATAAGCTGGCCATTGACTCTCCTGGTTTAAGGTCCACGGACCTTCCAGATGTTGTTGTTGTAACAATAGTTCTATTGAAACAAATTATCATCTTTTAATGAGGGAGAAGTGGCCAAGAGAGTGTGGAAATACTTCTATGATGCGTGTGGAATTCCTCATAAAAATTCCCTAAATATTAGAGCTAAATTCATGGCATGGTGTCTCATCAAGCCTCAAAACCAAGTACATGAAATCATTCTTCAATGTCTTCCTAGTTTTATTACTTGGGAAATCTGGAAATTCAGATGCTCTTATAAATATGATGGCATCAGGTCGACTACTAACAGAGTGATTGATCAAATCACCATGCTGATGCAGAGGACTCTTGCAGCTCAGTTTACCACCATAAACTCCTCCCCTCCTTTTTCAAATATATTTCATGTTGTGGAAAGAATCTGTCCTCAATTATCTATCATTCCAGTGAGGTGGAAATGTCCTGATATCGGGAAATATTTGTTAGACAATTGGCATTTTTTTCAGCTTATTATTTTTACTGTTTTTTACTTATTTCAGTTTAGTGCTTCCTATTTTCTAGCTAGACTTAGTCAACTTTAGTTGCTCAACTTTCTGAAGTTAGTGGCCCCTTTAATGGCTGTTAGTGGCCCCTTTTATGGTTGTTAGTGGCACATGCTCTTATTTAGTTTTAACATCCACTTTGTAAGTGGCCACTAGATAAGAAATGGTTAGGTTTTTCCTTGTATAAATTCAGATCTTATGCAAATTAATATATAGCTGGAATTTCATAAGTTCACTCTATTTTTATTCTTCAAATAAGTATCTTGAGTATTTTTGTTCTAACAGTAGTATCAGAGCCTCTAGTTGATCTTACAGGACCAAAAAGTTTTAACCTACAACACAAATGGCATCCAACAACCTACCTTTAAATCCACCATTCACTTTCACCGGTGAAAATTACCAAATCTGGTCTGTGAAGATGCAAGCTTTTCTGGAAGCCTATGAACTTTGGGAAACTGTGACGGAAGATAAACCGCTTGCTACTCTACCAGCAAATCCTACCTTGGCTCAAATCAAATCCAACAACGAAGAGAAGGCAAAGAAATCTAAAGCCAAGTCGCTTATACAGAATGCTGTGGTAGATTCTGTGTTTTACAAAATCATGGCTTGCAAAACAGCAAAAGAGGCTTGGGATAGGTTGAAAGAAGAATATCAAGGCAGCGATAGAACACGTCAAATGCAAGTGTTGAACTTGAAAGAGAGTTCGAGTGCTTGAATATACAGGACGATAAAACAATCAGTAAGTATGCTGATCGAATCTCCTTAATTGTTAATAACATTAGACTTCTTGGTGAAGAATTTACAGAAAAATGAATTGTGGAGAAAGTTCTTGCAACTCTTCCTGAGAGGTTTGAATCGAAGATTTCCTCTCTTGAAGAATCCAAGGACCTGGGCAAACTTTCATTAGGTGAACTAATGAGTGCTCTTCAAGCCCAAGAGCAAAGGAGGACTATGAGACGGGACAAGTTCACTGAAGGAGCTTTCTCTGTACAAAAACAAATATTTGGTAAAGGAAAGCAACAGGTCAACCAAAAGAATAAGGGCAAGCATGATGGAGGAAATAATAGTGGAGATGTGAAGCAGAAGTTCCCTCCGTGCAAACATTGTAAAAGAACTACACATCTGGAGAAGTACTGTTGGTGGACGGTCGATGCTATATGCGGCAACTGTAAGCAGATGGAGCACATATCCAAGGTCTGCAAATCAAGAGCAAAGGCCTCTGGTGCTTTGCAAGCACAAGTAGCAGAAGCTACAGATGCACATGAGGAGCAACTCTTTGCAGTTTCATACTTTTCAATCAATGAATCCTCTGATTCATGGCTTCTTGATAGTGGTTGCACACATCAGTTGTGCAATGATGCTTAAATGTTCAAATTCCTTCAATTGTTTCGCTTACCTTTTCTTTCCCCCATTATTCTTGTTTTGCGCGGCTGGATTTAATTCAATGAGAGAAAATCTGTCGAACGGAATATGTTAAGATACAATTGACATATTAAAACAGCTGTGTGTTAAGTTTTTCAAATGAAATTTTCAACAAATCAAATAATCAAAAAATAATTGACTTTGGTGTATTACAACAGAAAACCCCACCCACAATCAAGAAAATGAAAAGAACAAAATATCAAAGAAGAAAAGAAACCTCACTCTTAGGATGTTTCAAATACAAGCAGACACTATATACACAAACAAAATTACAAATATAATTTAAAACTTAAATGCAGAATTACACAAGCACATAAAATGATAGATAAACGACTCAGCAAAATTAGTCATCCACAGCAGCCTTCTCAAACTGTCGAGTTGGTCTCTGCTAGCACCAAAACTAGCAGGGTCCCCGGAGCCATGAACAGCTTCTGTATTAATCCACATTGTTTGATAACTATACAACAGCAATCATGCAGACTGGCCTTGTTTGTGCCTAAACATATCTGCATGCATGAGTTCAGCTTGATGCTAATCCCTCTCCAAGTTACCAAACCCGCTGTTGGGAATTTTATGCAACAATTTCTTTTTTGTTCACCCTGCTCGAATGACTAGTCAAGAAGTGCCCAAATATGGAAGGCCGAGGTGTCAGTATGTTGAATACTTCATCCACAAATTTCACGCCTGTTCTTTTTAAGTTCTGCAAGTCATGTATCCCATATACTGAGGTGACAGCAAACACACACGCAAGCAGAATGCTGAACACGAGGTGCACCGAATTATATGAATCTCAAGTACTGTAAGTTCATCACAACTACCAGTTAGCTCTATTTCTATCTGGTTCTCTGGACTGGGTACTCTTATATGCTCTCCAAACATCTTCCCATTGGCCTCTACTTCCACTTCTCTCAAACGGATAATTGTTAAAATCCGTGTGTGTTCTAAATGTGCTGCTCTCATTGCCTCTGCTTTGATTACTCCTCATCTCTTCTTCAAGGTCATAACGAGAACGCTTCAAGAAAGAAGCAGTAACTCAGTAAAGATTCAATTTTCAGCAAACAAGAGATGTACAGTTTATAGAAGAAAATGTTAAGCAATCAAGGCCATCTAATCAAAGAAGAAAAGGATGAAGAAAACCGAGCACATCCAGGGATACCACATAAATTGAGAACCAAGATTAAACACGATTAAGTCCGATGTGCATCCGACAAAGGTTGCTCTACTGAGGGTGGGTTGGGATGGGCAGAGAAGAAAAAAAAATGTAATGTACATCTAATGGTGCTTGGACAGTAAGTCGGGAAAAGTTCTTTGTAGAAGTTCATTCCCAACATGTTCTAAAAAAACAATGTTTGAATAGTTATTTATAGAAGACATACTGGTCATTTTGAAAAAAGGAAAGAAAATCTCAGGCAGTTCATTGTTATGATTTTATTTATTTTTTTGATCAAGTAAAAGGTTTCACTGATAGTAATAACAAGGCCAACTTGGCTGTATTCAAGTGATATACCAAAAAGAGGAGAAACCTACAAAATATGGTTCTCTCTGAAAGACACCCACTCCTCTATACAAACAGGAACTATATGGGTGCTCCAAAAGAAAATAAGGGATCAAAGGCTCCTCAATTGAGCAAAGCACATCTCCACCCCTTCAAAAACTCTACTATTTTGCTCCTTCCAAATGACCCACATCAAGAGGAGTAACATTCCAAATCTTGTGCCCCACTATTCCAGCAGAGCATCAGCTCCTTAACTGTTCTTGGCATAACCCAAGAAACTTCAAACCATCTGAAGGTATCCTCCTATAACCTCGTAGCTAACTTGCAATATATCAGAATTCGGTCCACGTCCTCACCCGTCTCCTTACAAAGGAAACACCAGCTCATGCAAACAACCTTTCTTTACCTAAGATTCTCCGCCGTCAAAATCACTCCTCTAGTAGCCAACCACGTGAAGAAGCACACCTTCCTCGGCACCTTCAGTATCCAGACCAATACAAATGGAAAACTATCATCTTCCCTAACCAGCAGCTTCTCATAGAATGACTTAACGGAGAACACTTTGTTATTCCCCAACTCCCAACACAAAGCACCGGGTTTGTCGACTGGCTTGCATTGCTTTTGAAGTAAAACCTGGCAATCTCTAAATCTTGGTCACCTCCCAATCTCAGAAAGTCCTCTTAAACCTTAAATGTCATAAGGTCACATCCCCATGAGTTCGCCTAGCTTGCTGAGCAGACAATTCTCTTTGGCAAGAGACCATATACAATGCCGGGAATTCATCCTTAAGCACCAAACCTTCACACCACTTTTGCCCCCAAAAACAAACCCTGCTCCCTTCCCAACTTTGAAAACAATATGAGTATTAAAGGCATCCCACCCCTTCATGATATTCCTCCACACACCACACTCGAAAGGCATCGTGATCTCATTTGTTTTCCATCCCCCTTCCATCTCTCCTTATTTATCCGCTATCACCCCTCTCCATAAAGCTTCTTCCTTCATCCCAAATCTCCACAATGATTTACCCTAGAGTGCTATGTTAAAGACCTTCAAGTCCTTAACCCCAAGTCATCCCCACTATTTAGGAGATGTCATGGTTTCCCAACAAACTAAGTGAAACTTCTTTGCGCCGTCCGCCGCATCCCAGTGAAAATTTCTTTGCAACCTTCCATCTTCCCAATCACAATTGTAGGAGTGTTGAACAGGGACATGCAGTATATAGGAATACTCGATAAAGTGTTCTTAATAAACACTTCCTAGCCTCTTTTGGACAAGTATCTTTTTTGCCAACCTACTAACATTTCTCTACCTTTCGAATAATCGGATCCCAAACATTGAGATCCTTGTTCGATGTGTCTTTAGGCAATCCAAGGTAGGTAGTAGGGAGAAGACCTACCCTGCATTGCAGAACTTGTGCAAGCATGTGAATGTTATTTATTACGCCAACAGGTATGATCTCGCAATTTCTAAGATTAATTTTTAGCCCCAACACCACTTGGAACCAAGTTAAGATTGGCCCAAGGAAGTCCAACTAGGTGCCATCTACATCACAAAACACCAAATTATCATCTGAAAAAAGTAGATGAGTAACCACCATGTTACTTACACCACTAACCGCAGCCTTGAATCCATTGATATGTCCACCTAAAATTGCTTTGTCCATCATTCTGCGCAAAGCTTCCATCACCAAGACAAAAGGCATCGTTGAAAAAGGATCTTCTTGTTTTGGTCCAAAGGGCGGGTCACAGACGGATTTCTCGGTTGTCAAAAAAAAAAAAAAAAAGGATCTTCTTGTCTCAAACCCCTCGAACCACCAAAGAAACCACACATATTGCCTTTTACCAAAACCGAATATCTCACCGAAGAGACGCAAAAACTAACCCACTTCCTCCATTTCTCCCTAAAGCCCATCTTCAACATAATGAAATCTAGGATCTTACAAATTACATGGTCATAAGCCTTCTCAAGATCTAACTTGCACAAAACATTCGGTACACCTTGTTTCTTCCTCGAATCTACCACTTCATTAGCCACCAAAGCTGCATCCGGAATTTGCCTTCCTTTGACAAAGGCATTTTGTGAAGAAGAAACAATCTCGTTCAGAACACTCTTAAGTCTATCGAAAAGCACCTTAGAAATAATCTAGTAGATATTTCTCACTAGACTAATAGGCACATGTCTCAATGCTA